AGCTGAAGTCCCTCGGCCCTTAAAGGGGAAAGGTCGCCTACCCCTGTACTAGACAATAATCCTCGTTTGCATATCCTCCTACCCTGAGGCCCTGCCACCAACTCAGAACAATACACAGTCAACAACAGAGCAATACACAGTTTACATGGGAATCATTCCTCCCTACCCAGGTTCTCACAGTATATATATACGCACTCTCTTCCATTCCAGCATTCTACGAAGATGCCAGCCACAGATACTGGCGAAAATGTCAGAAAGAAACTCTTCTAGAACATGGCAACACAGCCCAAAAAACCCACAAAAAACTATGGATGCCACCCATGAAAGCCTATGACCTACTTCCATTCTTATAAAATTCCATAGGACATTAACAGTAACAGTATGCTGTTGTTGTTTTGTGCTTTCAAGTCATTTCTGACTTAAGGCAAACCTACCATCAGGTTTTCTTGGCAAGATTTGTTTACAGGAGGTTTGCCATTGTTTTTCCCTGAGGGTGAGAGGGTGTGACCTGCTCAAGATCATCCAGTGGCTTTCATGGCCAGGCAGGGAACTGAACCCCTAATCCCCAGAGTCCTAGTCCAATGTTCAAACCACTACACCATGCTGGCTTTACAGTAATAAAACTGCAAGCAGAAATAAATCAGTAATCAACATACCCCAGCATTTTCATGGCAGCATCTGACAGATTCCTCACAATTTCAGACACTAAACTCTTGTATCCTTCTTGATCAGGTGGGATAGACAAACATTTTTTCTTTAGGTATTTCTGCTGCTGATTCCCAGAACAAATAAGAACACTCTTATGGGTTAACATACTAGGATCCTATATAATCTTAGCAGATACTGAAAAGATGATGTAGCTTTTGTTCCACATCATCTTCTGATACTATATAAAAGGAATCACATGCCACACCGTAATAAAATCCAGGCAGTAAAACAGCTTGATTCACCTTTGCCAATAGTCTCCTACCTGTTTGCCATGGCTCAGGCTTCACTATATAGTTTCTTTTAACTGAGATCAATAAGCATCAGGAGTAGCAGTGCAGGACAACAGAAATGAATATTATTTTCTGTGCAAAGATTTCTTTTGATGGAAAGTACATTATATCAAAAAAGGAGAGAAACTTTCTGCAAAAGCTGATCAAAACATAAATTATAATTTAAAGAAATCAAGAGTACATTTTGGCTAGATTGTAGTGTCCCTAGTACCATAGAGAAGGCCATGTGGCAAATTTAGGATAAAAGTCTCAAAGTTGCTAGCTCCATTAGAGTAGGCCAATTAAATCACCAGGAACCAAGTAAATCAAAATTTATACAAATTCCATTGATTTAATGGGTCTAGTTTCTTGGGTCTAACAAATGGATTTAGACCTGGTCTTGTCATCATTAAAGGAGTGTAATTAGAACAAAGGCATGCTTGAATCTCATACTTAAACTAAAAACCTACAAGTACCCTGGCTCCCTAGTCCCAATAATTAATGTATATAAAGTTAAGGTCACACTTATGCTTTTATATGCAGCAGAAATATGGGATTTAAATTCCATCTCAGTAATAGAACTAGCACAGTCCCAACATCTGAGAAGTATATTGGGGATAGATAAAAGGACATCAGCAGGTGCTGTTAGAGATGAATTAGAAATTTGTTCAATCCACTTGCAACCAAAAGTTAAAGTGTTCAACTATTGGTGTAAAATAAAAGAAATGGAGCCAGATAGACTACCAAAATTATGTCTCTTAGAACAGTTACAATTACATCTTCAGTCCTCTTGGAGTATGCAAATAATAAACTTTATAAAGAGATATGGTCTCCCTGAGTCATGCTCAGCTGATGATCAAGCAAAAAAGGGTGCGAGACAGAGAATCCTGGCTATTGAGGCCTCGCCACCTTAAGTAAGGTAGGCAACCTAAAATCGCTGAGCCGATATAAATGCACCTTTCAAAGATCAAATTACCTAAAAATACAAATGCATAAACATCTAAGGGAGGTATTTACTAGAGCTAGATTTGATCAGCTTGACACTATGGTAAGATATGGAAGATTCATTGGTATTCCATATAATGAGCAAACTTGTATCTGTGAAGATTGTGAAATTGAGGATTTAGCCCACATTCTATTCAAATGTATAGTTTTTGTGGGGTTTTGGGGCTGTGTGGCCATGTTCTAGAAGAAATTCAAATGTAATTTGTACCACCAGGAAAGATTACCATATCTTGGTCCCTATATTAAACGAACATTGTTTTGGGATACTCGTGTTAGAATTTCATATGGGTGGTCAAGGTTCAAAAATAAATAACAGCACAGCTTGGTTTCTATATAAAGCGACACAGTTGAGATCTAGATATGTGGGGATGATTGGTGTAAACTGTAGGGGTGATGAAGAACTCAAATGTTTGATGTTATCCTTTTTTCCCCTCCTCTGGGGATATTATACTCACACTGTACTGTATTTATATGGTATTTTATTTACATACATATATTCTTTATTATATTTTTAATTTTCTTGTAATTTTTACTGAATTTTTAATCTGCTCTACTCTCTTTTGAGTTATAGTGAAATGGCCTAAAGGTTAATCAATAAAAGATTGATTGATTGATTTAGACAATACTTTGTAGTGTCATAATGAAAACATCTAGACTCACTTCTGACTATAGGTGCTGTAAGGCATGGTACATATATGTTCATTTCATCTGAAATTTGGTTTTACATGGAGGTGTAGCTTGAGAGCTGATCTAAGACTCTGTTGGACCTTGGTTAAAATTTCTACTCAGCCACCAAGACCCACTGGATGACATTAGCAAGTCATAGTCTATCAGGCTCAGAATGGCAAAATTCCTCTTGTTGAGAAAATCCAGTGATAGGGTCACCATCAGTTGGAATCAGTGTGAAGGCACAGAGTAACAAAACAAAAAAAATAGTGAGACTTTCACAGCCGAAATCATCCAAAGATGGAAACACAAAATGATATTTCCAGTATCTCCTCTGCACAAAGAAAAGGCTTCCAGAAAAGCTCTAGGGTTTTTTTTCTCTTCTCCCCCCCTTTTTTTTAAGCTACCAGAGTCTAATCAGAGAACCCAGACCTTGTTTCCATCTCCTCCTATCATAACACTATGGATTTGGCTTTTACTCTTTTTCTGCATAAAAGGAGCAATAGCTGCAACATATGCACATACAGACATGCCTCATTCCCTCTCATCCATCACCAAACAATTTAAGGAGTTGCTATATCTGTCACATTGTAAGCTACAGATAGTGCACTACTGGAAACTATCACAGTTCTTACCAGTTTGCAGCTCTGTAAAACAACACAGATTAGATTACAGGCAAAAGGCCGCACAGCTCAGAGACTGAACATGTGGCGGATGTGTTCTGATTGTAAAGAACCTCTCTACATTTCTGTTTTTTAAGACTATTTTCAGAACACAGCTATGTAATGTGAAGTCGTAGGCTTTCATGGCCAGCATCCATAGTTTTTTGTGGGTTTTCAAGGCTGTGTGGCTATGTTCTAGAAGAGTTTCTTTCTGACATTTTTCCAGCATCTGTGGCTG